CACGGCGGTAGCCAAATGGTGCGTGCGAGCAGCGGTGTGGCGGCCGGGCTGTGCTGCCGGCAGCAGTGCTGGTCCTGCCGACGGCCTGCGGAGCTCGCCTTGCCCTGGCCTCGGGAGCCGGGCCATGCGCGGGAGCTGCGGCTTAATGCTGAGCCATTGCCGTCATGTTCGCGTTGTGCTGCTTTGGTTTTTACTTGAAGGAGGTGTGTTTTTTCAAGGCATTTTAGACTGAAAAGCTTGTATGGGGACTCTTCCTGCCCAGCCTGTTACGTTTCTTCATTCCAAGTACAGTTAATCTGAACCGAATTTTCATATCCTGTCCAGACATAATATAATTATCAGTGTAATAAAAGACCTGGGTGGTCTTACAGTGCTTCAGTATGAAAGTGTAACACTCTACATCATTTGACCTACCGTATTACGATGTATTAATATAATTAAGGATGTCTGATAGACAGATTCTGTTGAGTTTCATAGTTACTATAATATTTTTGTTAAGCCTTTCTCATTGCTGGTATACTGATACGGCCTTTTCTTTGTTTGGTTGGGTTTTTTTTGGTATACAATGAAATTGGCTCATATGTAACCTTTTATCAGAGGATTAAAGAAGAAAGGAGTCAGGTTGCATACTGTCACTAAATCTATAGGAATTTACTGCTTTGAGATGCCTGTTCCTCTCAGATTAGGTTCAAATCTAAGAAGGGTAGGAATCAAGCATTGACATAGGTAGCTGGGGTAAAAACCCACATTAACTGGAGGAGGCTGAGGAACAGAGGGTTTTTCCACCTAGAGAAGGTGGTTTTACACCTGGAGAAGATAATTCTCCACTACCAGTTGTTGGGGGGATATACACAAGGCAGAGCCCCAATCTTCCTAGTAGGGAGCGGCAGTGACTTATAGGTACATATTTGCTTACTAGAAAAATACATTCCTGGAATATGCATTGATTACTGTTTACCAGAGAGCAAAACTCTCTGTAAGATTTAACACAAGGTGCATCTCAACCTCTGAAAATCCAACACCTTCTCTGGTTGATGGTACTTGTCTCTACACCCCCCCCTCCCCCTTTCCACCAGCCATACTCTCAGCTGTGTATTTGTGTGTGTCTTCTATGCTCTGGATTCCCTTCCCCTCTATTATGTTAATTTTAATGAACAAAGCTGCTTTTCTGTCATACTCAGTTTATTCATATCTGGAGCTGAATGCTTAACATAAATCTTTCAGTATGAGCATTCTTCCTGCCTCCCTTTGAAAAGTTTCATTATCATTGCCATCATCTTCAGCTCAATTGTGTCAGTCAAGGGTGAAGGACAGGAAAATGTACAGGTGATGAATAGCAGGCAGGGTGTTAAATAATTTCTGCTGTAACTCTAAAACAGTGAATACAGAAGTGACAGAGGTAGCGGGGAATGTTCATTTAAGACCACATGAGAAGAGAAGACTATGGATGAATCTGGTTGTAGTTTCCACTGTGTAATGGATGGAGCCAGACTCATCAAAGGATAGAGAACGGACTAGAGACACAGGCTGAAGATTAACAAGAAAAATCTTCATGAGAAGAGAATGGGAAAATATTTTCATAGCAAGAATCATTAAATATTGGGAAAGAAGTTTCCCAGAAAGGTTGCTGAATGCCTGTCCCTGGAGATTGCATAGTCACCCAAGTAAATTTCAGGTGCATCTCAATTAACATAACCTGATGTAGCTTTGAATTGAGTCCCACTTTGAGCAGGAGGTAGAACTGGGTAACCTCTGGACACCATTTCTAACCAAGCTATTCTGTGATTTTAGAAATGAAACATTGACTTACAGCCTCAAAATACTTAGGGACTTTAATCAATTTAAGATTTTTTTTGTTTTTTGCTTTTAGAAACTTTGTCTTAAGGATGGGTAAACTCGGTTTTTAATTTTAATCTGCTGCTTATGTGATTAAAAATTGCACATCTTTCTTGTGAGATTTGATATTTTGATGCCCACATAATCTTTTTGAAGGCAACAGGCCAACTTTGGTCTGCTGCATTAATGAAGTTCATATGTATTTTTACTAGTAACCTGGCATAAGTTTTTTTCGTCTTTAGAGAAAGAAAGAGAAGGCAGTTTGCATCTTTTAAGAAAAAATATAGCTATTTGGAAAATGTGAGGATTAGAATTGGCAGTCTCGCAGCTAAACTCTTATACTGATTTGTTGATGTTTGTAAATTAGTTTTTCTGTGTGACTTCCAGTCATTTTCTGCAATGACCATATACTCATATACTCATATATACTCATATAATAATATTTTATTGCAATGCTTCTCTAACAGCAAAAATTCAAGGCATGAAAAATGCTGTTCCCAAGAATGATAAGAAGAGACGAAAACAGCTGGCAGATGAAGTTGCCAAACTAGAGGCAGAACTTGAACAGAAGCACAAGGAGGAATTAAAGCAGCTGAAGGAAGCTTCACTTGAACAGAATAAGGTAGGTACCCTAACTTCAGCTGAAGTTGTACAGGTACAGTTTGCGTTAGGGCCTTTTTAACTTTTAAAAATCGATGAAATAACACTTCAAAGTATTTCTTCACAGTACTAGTAACTCTTTACAACTTAGGAAAGCTTTAGCTGTTACAGTAAATGGGCAGTGATAGAAGGGACATGTAACAGTGGGGGGTTTCTGTTCTTGAGCACTGTTGTGAGAGTGGTTTGGTTACTTAAAGAATCACTGTAAAATTATATTTCAATAGCAGGTTTAATATAAATTTACAAAAGCATGACCAAATTTGATGGCAAGATTTACTCTCTTCCTGAATCCATGGATGAGGCATACAAGGAAAATAATTTCACAAATGCCAGGCTGTAACAGAGATTAAATGTAGAGTAGGGGAAAAGGTGCACAAGTAGTATGTGGTGTTGCTTTTAGGGCTACATGAATAATTCAGTTATGTTAGAGAATTATTTTTTTAAATTATTATTTGTAGTGGTTTGTATTGCCACTCTGGTTATTTTAGGTAAGCTACTCAAGTATTGATGACCTTCAACAGGTATGTGACTTGTCCAGTGTGTTTTGTCTTGCAATTTGGTCAACAGTCATACAGTTACTATTAGGGTTAAGTTTGTCATTTTTTTTGAGAAGTTTGAGCTCTATCTTTTTCAATTGCTGGTTATGCTTTGATACAGAGGATGGACACTTCTGCTTTAATTTTCACAGAATTTGCTAATGGCTGGCATGGTGAGGAGAGCTTTTTCTTAAAGCCAGTAAGCAGTGCTCACACTCCAGCATGTAAGAGAACATACAGCTTAAATTTGAGATGCACGTAACTCTGTCAGGACTGCAGAAAAGTAATGAAATGCAAGAAATTTGTGACGTGAAATGCTCTGATGGCTTCTGTGCTATACACAGATCTTTGTGGTTAAACTTCATAAAAATACCCTGGAAGAGAACTTAAAACTGTGTCAGAAGATGAGTATCTTAGTTGTTGTTTATACTAATAAGAACATTTAACTTTTTTTTTTTTTTTTCTTTTTAGACAGATTCCATAGCTGATGGGGTTGCAAATATAGAGCTTGAAGGAGTAGAGCAGCAGATTCAGCATCATCGAATATCAAAAGCACAGAAGAGGCGGGTATGACTTCACGTTGAACATTTTGCAAATAATGATTGACATTATGTTCAACTAAACTTAACTCTAACAGCCAAAGCCAAACAATTTTGTAGGGGACATTACTAGGTAATTCTGTATTGATGCTGTACCTACTGGGTGCCTTGAAAATCTGTTAAACTGCTGTCTAGAGATATGTAAGGATTTTATAAATAGTTGCACTTTTCTACTCTCAGCCATGAGCCAGGAATCAGAATGTCAGAAAATGTGAGCCATAAAAAAAGAAATGATGTAAAGCAAATGATTTTTGAAAGACTTCCACTAAAAATATTATTAAAGAAGTAATTATACTACATACATAATACTATGTGGAAATTATGCAACTAGTAGTACTTTACACATACAATGAAAGAATATCAATACTGAAGAAACTCTTTTTAAATTGTTGTTGAGTTGTTAAGAAACACTATCTAGTGTCCTGTCTGTTAAGCTTAGATCTGTCTGGTTCAATATCAGATGTCATGATGGATTAACATTCTTGTACCTGCATGAATCTGCATATTGGGTCAGGGCCAGGGGAATACTGCTTTATTGCATATTTCATCCCCTCTTACATGATCACTACAAACATGTTAAAAGGATGTTCATAATTCATGGCACTATGTCTAGGCAAACCAGGAACACTGGTCTAGTTTTCCTATATTCTTATTGCCTAAACCAGTCTGATCTTGATTTGTGGTGAATTTTAAGTGTGAAAATGGAAGATCATTCTTTGTACTGTTTCCTTTTACTTGCTCATTTACTTTGGTTCTTGCTCCTTTATTAACATCAGCATGTATTTACGAAACATTCTATGAAATGAATTTTTCTTTTTTTTTTTTTTTTTTTAGTGTATTATTACATCACATATTCTCTACATGCATTCTTAGCCATCTTTTTATGTTAGGAGAAGTCTTTTATGATGTAGAGTACCTGTCCTGAGGGAGTTTCAGTTACATGGCATGAGCTTCATTATGCAGTCATATACTTAACTGGTAGATCTCACACTTCTTATGAAAGAGTGGTATTTTCTGATGTTTAATTAGAATTCCCACACTTGAGTGTTGAAATAGTTGATCCTGAAGAAAGGACTATGATTAATAAGGCTGCCTTTATATGAGTGTTGTAAGGTGTTATTTTGCATGTTGATAATAACTAAGATTTCTCTTGTCATATAAATTTGGGTGTGGCATCAGAGGCAGTTAGGTTATATTGTTCACTTAGCATTTGCTAAACTTTGGGTTTAGGAGGTCTCTAATTGGTAGTACTGATTCAGACAAATATTTTATAGATAAGAATGTGCTGAGAAAACATTGGAAGAGTTAGAAGCAAGCACTAAGCCAAGAACGATACAGGCATATTCTAAATTTTAATATTTGATGCAATTTTTGTGTGTTTTTAATCTAAGGAGAAAAAAGCTGCTTTGGAGAAAGAAAGAGAAGAAAGAATAGCTGAAGCTGAGATACAAAATTTAACAGGTGCTAGACATCTTGAAAGTCAGAAACTTGCCTCCCTATTGGCAGCAAGACACTTAGAAATTAAGCAAATCCCTTCAGATGGCCATTGCATGTACAGAGCTATTGAAGATCAGCTTAAGGATCACCAAAATTCCTGGACTGTTGCAACTCTGAGGAACCAAACAGCAAAGTATATGCAAAGTCACTTTGATGACTTCCTGCCTTTTCTTACAAACCCTAATACTGGAGATATGTATAGCAAAGGTAAGACTTGTAGCATAAGAGATTTTAAGAACTGTTAAAACTGCTTCTGATACAGCTCAGTCTCAGTTACAGCTGAATTGGGACTTTTATGGTGTTTGTAACTTTGTTACTTTATTGTGTTTCATGTAATACAGAATTATGATCTGCTATGAAACTTGGTACACCTGGATATCTCTAATTAGTATATATTTAAATGAATCTAGGAAATATTCCCCATTAAAAAAAAACAAAAACAGAACAAAACTTGCTGGTTTCTAGATGATGTGAACTCATTCTGGGATGTGATTTGTTATTATAAACAGCCTGGCTACCACGTTGGAGTGATTTGCTTGTCAAGTTTTATATTTCAATGTACATAGGAAATCTGTTAAAAATTATTTAATAGTAGTTTGAATAGGTGCATTTTCTTATTCTACCTTGTTGTTTCACTGCAAAGTATTTTGGAACCATTTTTTTTTTACAAATAGGCTAAACTGAAAAATATAAAAAAGCTGTAGTGTGGAGCAACGGTGTAGGTTGAGTAAAAACAGAGTTTATGTATCTCTTATTTGAGCAATACAGAATTTATTCATAATGTGTGGAACACCCCAGAAATGACTGTGTAAATTTCCTTAATTTAATGCTACATTTGTTTAATAGGCATTGCTGTGGATTTCATGTGGTCCCTAGGTGATGTCATTCCCACGTTGACAGAGATTTTCGTCACGGGTTAAATGTGTCCCAGGAGAATACTGAATCAAATTCTGCACAGCAACAGGGAATTGGGCTTTTCTGTTATAAAGGAAATGAATGAAAAGTCATTCTGAGTGGTCTTCAGAAAATCTGAAGATTCTCCTTTCTCAAAATCTGTTTGTAAGGTTCAAAAGCTTGAGGGTTTGTAATTTACAAATTTTAAACTTGGTTTCTGTAGAACATGATCTGAAAAAAATTTCTTTAGCTATTTACAAAGGAACTATTGAGATTAAATACTTCAGAGGTTAAAAATAAGGCAGCTAATATGGAAATTTAAAGAACCCCTGCCAACTGATTGACTACATGCAGTTGCAAGATTTTTAAAACATACCTGACACCTGGCTAACGTAAAAACTAGATACACTACACACTGTCACATTCTTTTCTAAAGTTTCTAAACATCCTCTGAAACTTAACAGAAAGAAAACAGTATGCAAAATCATGTTTGTTGTTACCTGTTGTTCTCTGAATAAAAAAAGTAAAATATTAGCTGTAGTTTATTTACACTCTTTTTTTATCCCTCTCTTCAGTCTGAAATTTTCTTTTTAAAACAGAATGAGTTTGGGGGTTTTCTTTGACAACTCTTTTTGTCTGCTTTTCTTCAGTGAATGTACATATTTTCCTTCATAATATGTTTGTAGTTTTCTGGCTCTAGCTCTTCATTGCACAGTCAGTGTATTTCCTCAGCTGCTTGTTCTCAAACAAGAACTAAAAGTTGTCTTTCTTTTCCTGCAGAGGAATTTGAGAAATACTGTGATGATATAGCAAATACAGCTGCATGGGGTGGTCAGCTGGAAGTAAGTATTGTATTGATTATTTTTATTTGTGAAATTCTGAAGTGGGTGAATATACCTATAAAAAAGGGCTTCTTTAGAAGGAATATCTGAAGGCATAAAGAGACATAGTCATAAATAGCTTATTAAGAACTTTTCCTTCTGGTTATAGGCTGTTTACCCAAAATAATATATTTTCTGATGGTGCACCACCGTTGTGTTTGACAGCATGCAAGTTAGCAAAGTCATTTGGTATAAATATCATTAGAAGGACTGACACTATGAGTGGGGGAGTGTTGTTAGGTTGTTGTCACGTAAATGAGAACTTGAGCTTCAAAAAAATACATATTTATTTCAGTTTGTCTTATTTTTTACGAAAGAATGGTTAGCAAATTAATGAAAATAGCCCAGTGTTGTATCCTCTGAACAATGATTAGTCCAAGGCAATCTGTTTTCAGTTAAAGTTTTAAAAGTTAAAATAATTTTGCTTATTTTAATAAAGTTTATTTTCTGAAAATATTTCTAATGTTATGCTTGAACTGTCTGCTAAAATTAAATGCCTAGCCTTCCTGTCTCCTGCCTCCATTGTCTTTAATCCTATTACTAAATAGTTTTTCTCTTAAAGCTAAGGGCTTTGTCACATATTTTGCAAACACCTATTGAAGTAGTGCAAATGGATTCTCCTCCCATTATTGTTGGTGAAGAATATTCAGGCAAACCAATAACACTTGTGTAAGTATGTAATTTTATCACTTAAATTTAGTGCACTTATTTTTGTAACAGAGGACTCACCTTTAATTCTCACCTGCTCTTTTATTTTCTGTTACACATCTGATGTTGAAACACTGCTTGAGTAATGGTTGTGCAGGTCAGAAATTGTTTGTGATTGGCACACTTTGGAGAAACTGTAATTAGACAGTGTCTGATGTGTATTAGTCACTGATTTAGAGAATGCTGCAAGGTCATTTTGCCTGTTAAATAATTACAAAATAATAATGACATTGAGGCATTGATACAAGATGGAGGAAACTTTTTTCCTTCTTCAGAGTATTTGTCAAACTGTGCCTGGAAGTCACCAGAATTAAAATTTGTCTTTGTTAATACTTTTCTATGTAATGATCCTATATATTTTTGTTGCTAAAACTTGGCTTTATTTACATTGTCTTCCAGTGCTGTTACTGTTTGGTGTGATATATACTTTTTTGTTATACTGAACACTATTTCTGTAACTTTTTTTTTAGGTATATGAGGCATGCCTATGGATTAGGAGAGCATTACAATTCTGTGAAAGTTCTAACAGACATTGCTACAGAAAACAGCAGCTAGCATATGAAAGTTGTACATGGATAACAGTTGACATGGATAACAGTTGCATCATGATGTGTTGGGCTCCAGGTAGTTCCCAGTAAGAATGGAAAGTAAATGGAATGGATTATAAATTAAAAAAAAAAATAAAAAAAAGAGACCTTCAAGGCTTGCCTATAAATCAGAGAGGTCTAGATTTGAAACAAAATCAAACCAAAACAACACAACAGTATTTTGAATTTGTTGGTATTAATTATGTTTAGAAGATCTTCTGTAAAATGGTGGCTGTGTAGATCAGGTTTTTTTCAATAAAGCTTCCTCCCAATTCTACAGGGAAAATAGCAAATAATAAAAATCTGTTTTGGTTAATCTCCATTTCTGATGAAGATTTAATGTTACCTGAAGGTCCCTGTTCCATTATTTCTGTCAAATTTTCACGATAATGGAAGAGTTCAGGCATTTGAAATAACTGATTGTATTTTGGTTATGGAATATCCTCTGCAGTGTTTCTGTAGTCCTGTCAGGATCTAATATCAACAGTATAGTATTGATTCCCTTCTTTATTTAGGCAGAGAAGATCTGGAGATAAATCCAGCAGCAGAATATCTTGCTTAGCTGAAGGAATTGCACAGTCTTTTTAGAGACTTTCATATAAGATTTTTACCAAGGTTTGATGTAGGGTTGTTTTTTCTTTTGCAGCTGAGGGTAGAAATTCAACTTTTGTGCACATTGTTATTTATGATTGTACATTATGCTGTCAGTGCAAGCTAACTGCACTGTTCATTCTCCATAGTCTTTCAGCTGTGCATTTTGGTGAATCAGAAATCTTACAGAGCTCACTTCAGGTAGTGGAACTCATCTGAACTCATAATTTCTGGATCTGCTGATCTAAGCACTTTGTCATCTAAAGTGTGATGTTTTATAATACTTGAAACAGCTGGTTGCACACAGCTGTAGAAATAACCACCTTGGGTTTTGTCAGTAACTAAAGATGATCTGAAAAAAAATTGCATTTATTTTAATTGCTTCTTATGGTGCACAGAGACTTGAGAGGTTTTAATATGGCTTGACTTTATACATTAGAAATGTAGATTGTTGTCTGTAAATGTGACTTCAAAATTAGGAGCATACCGAAACCAAAGTTTTAATGCAAATGTTTTTTAACAAGAAAAGTAATTTTTAAATTTTTTTTAAAGCCTTAGTCAATAAAAGAATTGTCGGTATTTACTGCTGCTGAGTTGATTTGGAGAAAAGCGGTTCATGGAAAGATTAAACACCTTTGCCCTGGTTTGAGGATTATGACCTAACAGTATGTATCTTGTAGTCCTTCAGTAAAGCTAGCCTGCAGACTTACATTCCTGGAACTTAGAAAAATTTGCTCTTAAGAAGGAGATAAGTGATCACTTTATGGGTCAGATTATGTCTGATTTAAAGCACTTTGAGAGAGAGAGTAAAGAAAAATCAGATAATTATAGCAGGAGTTTTTGGACAAGCAGTTCTTTAGGCTGGTGCCTGCTGGAAAACAAAGTATTAACCAGATCAGGAGTTTTTACATTCTTATTTATCTGTTATAGTATAACAAATACATCTGGTTTATATACTAAACCAGCTGGCTTACTGTAAAATTTGGTTTACTACCTTGATTGTATTAAATGATGGTTTTCATTTCAAACAAAAAAAATAGGATACAACAGCATGGAAAAATGTTTCTATTCATAATACCATTACAAATTTCACTAAAAATAATAAATAGTACTGTTCTCTGCATTGCTTAGAATTGATGTGATATAAAATGCACATGCTGCATTTTATAGATAGGCAGTTCTTTGGTTTATTTGGGTTTCAGTTTGTTTAATTGAGAGAGAGAAGATTCTAGAATCAGGGAAAACCTGTACCGAGAGTTTGTCATGTTGAAGATGTTTACAGTTTGTATAAAGTTAAATAATTTAATACAGTGAGTGAAAGATCCTTGCTTATGCTGTATGGGAATTGCCAAAAAGTAATAAATTGGTTTATTTGTGGCAAATGTTGTTGGGGTCAGCTTTATTTTGTACTCAAATAATTCACTTATTTCCTACTATGAATAAGCTTATCCATTTAAGTTTTAGGATCCTACTGTAATATAAATTCTAAAACAACTGATTGTATTCAGGCAGACAAAGCTTCACTCCATATGAAATTGTTTCTGATCAAAATTTATCCTTAGCATTTTAGCAGTTAAACTTGAGCTTGTCTGAAAAACTATTTGAAAATACTGTTGACCTTCCCCATGCATTAGAAAGATGAAATGAGAGGGGGTCTTTTCACAATTAAGCTTTTAACTTCTTTGTCAGATTACATTTTTCTCTGCAGAATACCACTATTTACTTTGAGTGTGCATTTCAGTAGCTTTCTTTGCTTTTATCTGCCACTATTTCTTTCAAGGAGTGTTGAATACTTTTTTCAAGACTGAGATTAGTTGCCAGTAGGAATGCTCACATAAACAGAAGGGAAGCTGTCTAGTGGTCTGCAATAAGTTGTGTACAATATTCTGAAAGGGAAGAACATATTTGTTGTTGAAAACAGTGGTTACATGTGGCTTTTGGTGACATGTGGCTTGTCCCTGTCCCCTTCACTTACTCTGTACCAGTCTCTGCTCTCCTGTCCAGTTGATTGGGCTGTAGGCAGCCCCAGGAAGGGGGTGGGAGGTGGGTGGCAGCCAGAGGGAGGGCAGACCTGTCATAAATTTATTTCAACAGTACATTAATTTTTCTAATAATTTATTATTTAGATAGGAAATTAGTTCAAGGATTTTTTTTTTAAAGAAAGAAATTATATAAAATGTAATGAAGCATTGATGTATGTCCCTTGTGCACATTGGTTCAATTCTCATAACTTACTATGTTTACGTGTGTTAAAATATTGCAGCAAAGCTAAAATGGGACTTTTTTATGTTGAGGATGGCAGAGCACTGGAACAGGCTGCCCAGAGAGGTGGTGGGGTCTCCATCTCTGGAGACATTCAAAACCCACCTGGTTCCTGTGTAACCTGCTCTGGGTGACCCTGACTTGGCGGGGCGGTTGGACTGGATGGTCTCCAGCAGTCCCTTCCAAACCTAGTTATTCTGTAAAACCCAGTGAAGAGGGAATTTGTTTCACAGCCACTTGCTTTGAGGCAGAATTGTCAGGAGGAGCACTTTTTGCCTTCTCTCCACGCTCTGTTCTCCCCTTTTTAACAGGCAATTGCACAGGGGCTGTAGTAGGCTTCTGGAAACAAAAAACAGTGCTGAAATTTGGGGTGTATGCAGAGCACATCCCCTTTGCTGCTACCCTGACTCAAGGAGAACGATGTGCTGGCAGCAGTGTGACTGGTGCATCTGAGTTATGCCCGAGTGTAAGGTGTGAGTTACAGCAGTGAGAATTACTGGATAAATGCACGGGTGGCAGTAGAGTCGGTGGGGTCAGGAGGGGCACTCCCTCAGGCAGTTTGGGCTGTGGATTTTAGCCAGTTCCTCCCTCAGCAGCACTGGGTGCCTTGCAGCTTACGGCTTCGGTGATGTGGCAGTGACGGAGTGACGGCGTCCCTTTGGTGGGCAGCGCGGGTGATGTGTGTGATGGAGCTGTGTGCAGGGCAGTCCTGCTCAGGCCCTGCAGAGCTGTGCTGGTGTCTGCAGGGGTGCAGCAGCCTTCCTGAACATCTGGAGATGGCCTGAAAGCTTTGGTGAGTGTGGCCATCAGCGTGTCCTGTCTGCATCATCAGGGTACTTTGGGCTGTCATTGGCCATGGAATTATTGCAAGTACAACTCTCCATTTTTAGTCCTTGAAACACAGCCTGCTTCCCTTTGTCTCCCAGCAGACCTCATGGGATTTATTTATGAATGACAAGCAGCCTGTGTTTATTACTTAATCTATAAAAAGGTAAGCAGACTTAAAAATAGGATCTGAAACATAGAAGGCATTTTCTGTACTTTCCTTGGCTCCAGTGAGAATGCTAACCCACCAGTTCCTTTGTTTTGAGCAATTAATAAAAGCAACAGATGGGTTATGATTGATCACTAGATGTACTTTTGAATACAGCTAAAATCCTTAGCAATTGCCTCTGTATGTTAGAAACAGTTACAGCACAGAAAGAATTATTCATGCACAAAAATATTTGGTAAAATTTAGAATAAACTGATGTAGTCTTTGTGTTGAAAATTAAATAAATACATCAAGGTATTAATTGAAAAGCTTTATACTCTTTACAAGTTAGAAAAATTGGAGTGCATAAATTTATATAGCAAGCAGATTAAAAAAAAATCCTAGAAGCTATATTTTCTGCAAAGGCTCCCTGAACTTCATCAGTTCTGGAAATATTTTGTCATGATATATAAAGGAGTTATACACATTAAGAATCTGAAGGTGCTATGTTTGTCCAGAAACTAAAACCTTCCAGATGTGTGTAATGCTGTTTTATTTTTTATTGTCCTTTTTTTTCTTTTCTTTTGAAGGATAGTGTTATGACAACTATTGAGCAAGATCTCTTATTTGAAATTATTGTATAAATCATGAAGATGCAGTTTGGCAATTGCGTTCTGGAAAGTATATGAATATTCTTTTGAGAAAGCTAAGGATGTAGAGATTTTAAACTAATAATTCTTCCCTGCATATATATATTTATCTATATATATATTATCTATATATATATTATCCTCTAAAAATATGAATAAAACCTCAATAGTATTAATTGCAATAGTTTGTCATTAAATCCTAATAATTAAATAATAAATCAAAATATAATTCTAATAATAATATTATCCTAAATAATAATCCACACTCCACTGAGTTGCAAAAGAGTGAGTGGCATCTATGAAGAACCATTTTTTTTAGCTGTCTTGCAGAATGTTGGGGCACAAAAAGCCAGAAACAGAATGGGGAAAGTAGTTGTGAACTGGGGATGCCTGCATGGAATGCACAAAATTATTCAGTGTTGAGGAATATTCTGGGTGCTGGTGGCTGGCTGTGCCACACGTTGTGCCCTGGCTGGGGGGAAGTGACTGGAACCCCAGGCAAACAGCTGAGAGTGTCCTTTTACACTTCATTGCTTTCCAACAGTTGCACCATAGTAATCAGCAGCCTCCAACATTCAGAGTTTGGTGAGCTCCCCGAAAGTGTTCCGTAGGTTCACTGGCATCACTTGTGTCAATGGATTTTAAAAACTTAGTTTTGATCTCTGGTATATTTATCAGTATTAGACATGCTGTGCTTAATGTTGCTGATTCCATTGTAGTGCTTGCTGTCTGCTTGATCTGCTGCTTGTGTGTGTTATCCATCTACTTCTGAACATTTTATCACAACTTCTGCAAACAACTGAAGAATTAGAGTCAACTTGGAGCTTTTTGAGAAAAACTACAAGGGGCAAGGAGCTGGAGAATGTAATGCAAAAATGCTTTAAATCCAAGTTGAAAAACAGCTGTTCAGTAAAAAAAAAAACAATGAAGAGACTATTAAGGAAAATTATTCTGCCGATCTTCCAAACCTTTACATTTTAGGTTGCACATTTTAGTTGCTACAATCAAGTAAAATTTTTGTTTGTTTTAAATAGAGAAACAGCTGGATATCACACCTCTGATAGAATCTGCAAAACCTGAATACATGCTGTCACTTCTAAAAGAACTTTAGCTTTCCCCATCTTAACTAGTGATATTCCCCTTCCTGTGGAAGGACACATTACAAAAACTATAAGGGGCTTTTGCCATTCGGGAATTCTCTTATTTTTCATGAAACATTTTTGATGCTGTCATAATTATCCACATAATTGCTATGTCCTACTTGTGCCTGGCTGAGAGCCTTCTGTCTACAGTTCTTGCCACAGACATCACTGGAAATAAAAAGAAATGTGAAATAGTTTGTGTGGCTACAGACCCATTGGAAAGGACAGGCTGGGAAGGTGAGGAGGAGAGGGTTAGCTTAGTGCTCGTCTGTGGGACAGGTGCTGGGTCTGTTCATAGCTCATGGATCACCATCAGAGGGGTGGCCAAAGTGGGCTTGTAGTGGGTCCCTGTTACACACCAACAAACACATTTCATATTTTTGTTAAGTTTACTAATAGTGTGGGTGTTTTGCACAGCTTCAGGTCCCTGGCCAACTCCAGAGCCTTAATCTAAAAAAAAGGCAAAGCAAACTAGATTTGAAAATTTTTGCTTTGTAAATACATTTGATTATGAAATCTCAGTAAATTCTGTCTCTGAAATTCTGTATCTTTTCTCTGCAAGTCTTTTACACATTTGAAGAACACACAAGACAGACTATTTGTACAACATGAGAAAGCAAGTCTCAGTATAGGATTTCTGGTAGTCTCACTTCTCACATACATAACAATGTATGTTATACATCACTATGATGCATGTACCACTAAAGTTTGTCTGATGCACATACTAAGCTACTATTACTATTACCTTGTTACATGAGTATTGAAATAGTCTTTGTAAATTTCAAATGCACTGGTATGCACCAGTTTGCAGTCAAAAGACATAAAAAAATCATTTTACTTAGCCCCATCCCTGGCAGCGTTCAAGGCCGGGCTGGGTGGAGCTCTGAGCAGCCTGGTCTGGTGCAAGGTGTCCCTGCCCATGGCAGGGGGGTAGGAGCAGAGTAAACTTTAAGGTCCTTTCCAACCCGAACCGTTCTATGATCATTTCAAGGACTGAAATCAAATATGCATTTTAATAAGGGGAGGAAAAATCCCATCCTGTACTGAGCACTGTAAAAATAGATGAGAACTACTGACAATTATATTAGAATCTAAGTAAACAGGCCAAGAAGAGAATGAACTGGTATAGGTATAAAGCCTACTTTTTATTTAGTAAAGCACTGTACTTTAATTAGATTGTACTGTAATTAGATATTGTTCAGTGTTGACTCTCAGTAAATTTTAATTGAAGAGCCTTAAAAATTATTAAACTAACTTCACTTCTAATTTTGCATATAGTACATCTCACAAACATTTCCTTTTGAAGTACTGAAGTGAGGGAATAGATAATACATAACTATTCTGAGTAATTCAAATTAT